ATTCAGCCTGTTTATAATTATCATACTCATTATGTGTGACATTAATTACATTAATATATTATTGTATTATCAAGGCAGCGCCCTACAGGGTGTGCTGACCGTTGTACACCGACCACCGGATAGAATTTATTTTATTAATAATAATTATATTTGATTATTAAAAGTTCAAGGTGTGCTATAAACGAAAAGAGGTCTCATTACATCTATACCTTATTGAGTAAACACAATAAAATTTCACCAAGAGCTTTGCGAGTCCGATTATGGAAATTATAAGTGTGTAAAATGCTAAAATAAATGATTGCTGAAAAGTAGCCGAAACGTCTTGAGTATGTAGTTTTTTTTTATCAAAAATAAAGTCACGTGTAAATCCGAAAAATATTAGTTTCATTTAAATGAATAAGACTCTTAGATATCGAAAATCTTAGATCTCATTATGTATAAAATGCTCTTCTGATTATTACTGAAAATTCTTCTCGATATTTTATAAATATTCGGATGACCTTTGTCAAAATATAAGCAGCAAGGAGAGTAGAGTATGATATTATCTTAGAAATAACATGTAACATATATCTGTCACAGCTGTTGACATAACATTATATTAAAGTTAAACATTACAGTTCAAACGATAGCCATAAAGAAGTCATGGTAGAAACTTCTATGGCATTTAAATGGCACTTTTTATACACAAGTTGATACTTTGTTGTACAAAAAAATGATACACTTGTTTTACAGTTTATAAACTACTTTTATTCCTTTAGGATTATCATTTCTAGTTTTGTTTTAAACAGTATAAGGTACCCTTAAAATTATACTTCAGTATTTCTTAAGAAACTATGCAGCAGTTCTTGTTGTGTCTGTCAAACAACAAGTTTCTGAAATAGTTACCAAAATATTGCTTACATTTTGCTTGTAATAAATTTTATTACTTCTCCTACTAGTTAGAATTTATTGAGAGTAGATAAAACATAAATCTGCTGTATATTTCATTGATTTATGTATGCTTTCGATTGCATTCAATTATTGTCTAATAAAAAAGAGATGCTGCATTGATTTCTACTATTTTTTTTAATGAATGTCGAGTTTAATAATGACGAATATAAATGTCTAATTTGTCATGCTGTTTTTTACGTTTGATATTCATTAAATTAAATAAATATGCAATAATTAATGGTATCCATTGTATTCTAAGACGTTTTGTTAGTTTCGTCAGCTCAATAAAATTATTTTCACTTTCACAGACTGAGTCGGGTCACTGCCGAAATTCAGTCACGCAATCGAGCTATTAAGGGTTGTTTCCACCCCACCCCCTTAAAGGAGTCGGCGAATTTTACAAACTACCCTCAGTAATTTCGGTTCCCCGTACAAGTCCCATCGAGGGTAACTTTTTTATGCTCCCATTGGACGGTTTCTAAGGATATTTTACGGTGCAGTTTTATTGTCCTGATTTTTCATTACGATATTTAGGGGATATCGCCATTTTATCATTTTAGTTATTCATAGTGAACGAGTTTTATTATACTTTTATTATAGTCTGTTAACTAATATAATGCAGACGAATCGTAGGTAGGTAGGTACATTATTTCTAAATATGTACCTGCAATTAATATTACTTTAGGCTTTACATACATAATACATTTTACTATTCACAATACATGTTTTTGATATCGAAGTTAAACAAAATAATAAAAGAATATTCTTCCAAAATACTGTATTATTAGAAGTATAAGATAGAATCAAATTGATTATCAATATCATAAGATCGGATTATTTTAGTAGAACTACATAGTTACGGGACCAATCGCTTATAGCTTGTGTAGCGTGCGTAAGTCTTAGTAAGTTTTACGAGGTGTTCCAGCTCAACTCGTTAAGCTTTAAGCCGCTATAATCGCCCTTTAATTTCAGAATTAAATAGGTCTCGTATAACGTTAATTATTACCGCTGGCTTTTTAACTAATGAAGAAATAAACAGGGACGAACGATTGAAATCTTTGACGTTCAATGTTACACAAAATTTATATTATATACAAAAGAAAGTTTACAAAGGAATTACACATATTAAATAACTACATACAATCATGAAAAAAAAAAACATTTACGAGTTTTATGAATATTGAAAATATATTAATTTTATTACTTATATGATAGGCCGGTCGGTCAACATAAAATTTATTATGTAAATAGTAAATAAACGTTCAGTTTTCGTATTTATAAAAAGTATATTAAAAGTTAATTTGGCGTGCACGTGAGTCAGCGACGAATATATAATTGATCTGATAAGAACTAAGTTAAAACACCTTTTAGCTTTGTATACTTACTTTTATGGGAATTAATAATTTTATAACAAGGATACATTGTACTGTGTTTATATTATTTAACCGATTTGTCAGAGGAATGATTATGTTTTTCAGTTTACGATTTCTTTGTCTTTCAAAATTTGTTATCGATTGCAATTAAAAAGTATGATTTATTTGCTAATTACATTTCAGTCAACTACCATGTAATTATATGCACGCAATTAACTCACTGTTTGTTACGTTATTTGTTTATTAATTGTATAAGTACGTTAAAGTTGTTCGTGAAAAACTGACTATGTACAATGGAAAATATAGTTGTTAAAACGAAAACTCAAACTGTATCGGAGTTGGAAATCAAAATCATAAATGAATAACACCATCAATTCAAGCACACTCCAATAAAAACGCTCAGCGTCGTATGATGGATTATACCGTCTTATCAGACTCATTGTTTTCCATAAAACGCTATAAAAAGACTAATTTGTCACATCGACCGGACTTATCGGTGGGTAATTGTTTTCGAATCTGAAAGCCTTGCATCTGATAACAGCTAATTTCTAAGTAACTAAGCCTTACAAAGCTTTTATATACAGCGCTAAATATAAAAATACTAATTAGAGTTTGTTTAATCGTGAAAGATCTAATCAATAGTTTTGTATGAAAATAGTATAGATACAGAAACAGGCTGTTGTGAAACTAAAGTATCGTAATATTTCGCGTTTTATAAATTTTATATGGAGTTCAAAAATATTCATTAAAATGCCTAATTTCTTTAGCATGACTCCATACTTCGTCTACATAATATTAATAACAATATTAGTATGTAATTTCTCTATAAAATGTATGTATATAACATCAGTGTAAAGGTTTTATAGTAAACGAATCATTTCCAAGTAGGATCGATAAGGTACCTCTCTGAGTCAGGCACCGATCACTTCCTCCCTTCTGTGGTTCTAACTTTATATATAATCATGAATACTAAACAACTATATATATATTTATTTACGTAATAACAATACTATATAAATTCCATATATTTGGTCTTATTATATATATATTTATGTTGTACTGAGTTATTTAAATAACTCTATAGCTACCGGTAAACTTATAAATTTTGATTTAAACCCTTATGTCCCGCGGCGCGGCGAAATCTTTAATAAACAAAAAAATATATATATTTGTGAATCAATACATCGATAATCGATTTAATTAGAATTATTGGTATTTGGAAGTACAGTCGCCGATAAAATTTATATAACAAAATATAAAAGAAACTGTATTAACAGTTATAATATTATTCAAAAAATCATTCAGAATTTGCTTTGGTTTAAAGAGATTAATAAAAATGAAGAACCCAATACTTTCCTGAACAAATTTTAATACCTATCTGTGTTGGGAATTAATATAACAGTTATATGTAATATTGTGTGTGATTGTACTTTAGTTACACTAAACGTCATCGACCTTAGCTGAGACACACAATAAAGCATATAGCAGTCACCCCCTACTGATTTTTATATTCGAATCTCGTTCAGAATAAAATTATAAAGAACATTAATAACTCAGTATATGATATACTCTCATACATCGTGGTAGCTGACATATGCAAAGTATTGTAAAGGATTTACGCGTCCAATTATTATAGTCGGTATAATTTCTTTGTTTTGTATTACATATGTATATGTTTTTACTTTATTGTCTACACGAATTTACTTATATCTATGTTCAGTCATTTCCATATTACGAACGTATAACTTTGAGAAATCATAAATTTATGAAAAGGATTTATAAGTAAAGAAAATTTTCTCTAAAATGTTCAATTCCATTAAAATATATTTTTATCTCTTAAAACTACCAAAGGATTATGTTTATCAAATAACTTGGTAAAGAAGATAAGGTGTTGTAATTACTTTCTAATACAAGTTCACCGAGTAATCGTATCCTTAAAACTATTTAGTTAACATAAACAACAGTTAATGCAATAGTATTTAGAGAAATGCTCAAACCAATAAAATAAATGACTTGGAAGCGAATAGTCGCGATATAAACTAATGCTATAAAACTATTAATTAAAATCAGAGTAATTTTCAACAATTACAAACAATAGTATCGATTAAATGCGATCGCAAAGTATCGATTACATTCAACCGAATCGATATCGAACACGATTCATTTATTAATACAGGGTGTAGAGCAATAAAATTCACCTGACAACATTAAATACGTGTCATGGACCACATTTATAAGTAATCGAATACACTGGCACCGGTATGCTGTTCTAAACAGTTTTGTTTTGCAAATGGAGCGATGATTTAGTGAGCTTTAGTTGTACGTGGAGTGTTTATGATTTGGATAAGTATTGTTGAGATAACGCGTATTAGATATGTACATACACTTTAAAATGATCATAAAGTTCAAACGATGCAAATAATGAAATCCTAATCTTTCCAATAAAAATGTTACTTAAGTAATTACAATATTCTTGTGAAAATTTGTTTTACTATTACATTGAAGTTTGAATATACAACTTTCTATCAGAGTAACCAGCTACTGGTTAAATTAAGTAGTCCAATGTATGATAAAATACCTGCTCTAGTTAATAAGACGTGTCTCATTCGATCTAAGTTTATTTTGTTAAATCCTTATCTCCAACTCATCTGATGAGTACAATTTTATGATCCTATAAGTAGTAGTATGGTGACTTACCTTGGAAGTAGCTCTTGGTCCGCAAGTAGCTGACTGATAGTCGCAGTATGGAGAGTCGATCCAGTTTGCTGAGTATATTCTGTTCGAAGGGCAGAAGCGACGCCAATGTATCCAATTCCGCATTGAGACGCTCACGATGTCTTTTACTTGGATTGCTCTTCGTGACGCCGTCTTTTGAAGGTGGTTTGATGCTGGAAAGAAAAAAATTATCTTCATTACTGTTCAAATTTATACACGATATATAAAACAAAATAATTACAGTGTAATAATTTATATTCTATAACTTGTACGTGCAACAAACATCGTTGTTTAAACTAATTGATAATAATAACACATGGTGTTCATGACAGTAATCAATCTATTGACAGCTAAATAGCTTGATTGATTGTTGACATTTTGTTTGTGATTCAATGACAATATGTCAAAAATAATCGTATAATTGTACACATACTACATATTAACCTAAAAAATCAATTGGGAGCATCATATTTACAAGACTTAATACTACGATGTAATGAAAGCTCCGGTAAATGAACATAAGTACTTAAAAAGCGATATTAAGTTAAGTGTTAGTGAGCTTGGTAGCTTGGTCTGTCGCGTGACTCCTGGTCTGTGGGGCCGAAACGGAACCCGAACAGAAATAGGTCGACGATTATTATATTAATGGTCCTTGTAAAATAATATCTGAGGTGTAATAAAAAATTATGTATGTAATTTACATTTTACTTTTTAACTACATTTCCACGACGCCTACAATATATGAGTTTAAGCTTCAAATTTATAACCTACCTTACAGAATAATATATTATGTGCAAGCTTACGAAGAAATGAAAGTTAAAAATATATATTTATATATTTAATTCTTTACGTAATACTAAAATATTGTCAAGGGCTTTTCTAAGATACATCAAAATTATTTCATCAAATTAATTATTCATCTTTTATCAACCTCTAAACGTATTCAATATTTCTGTACTATTACTTCCGCATCCATAACTTAATTTTAATAAAATTTTCTACAATACAAAGTAATATAAATCAATTAATTATGTATGAGCGGACACATTGAACAATAGAGAATTATAATTATAATACAGTAAATATATTATTAAATATAAAAAGCTTACCCTTGCATAAGTTACGTTAACAAGTGAGGTTGCGTGACTGGTTAGCTCGTTTGCTACTGCTTGGGAAGACTCATAAACACTGTACCAGTGAAAGCGGTTATGTTTATAGATCGGTTTATTGTTTGCTTGTCTGTCTGTTACTTATACTATAGCTCCTTAACTGTATGTCGTACGCTCTTTATAAAGGCCACTTCAATTATATCGCGAGAAAAAATTATATGCATAACATTGTTTATTTGACTGTTCGTTAGATAGGTAATGAATTTGAGAGCTACTGAATAGTATTTATGGTTTTTATATATTAATTAATTATATAAAATAATAATAGTATTATTTTATTTAACAATAAGCGAAAACATGAACAGTTTACGCTTTCTGAATATAGTATTTTGCAAATTGTGAGTATCGTAAAAGATCCCCTTACACGATGATATTTTTTGTACTCTGCTTATTAATAGATGTATTTTTCCTATTTGTAGGAGAAATCTACTTTTAAACGGATGAACAATTCTACGACTGTTTATAAATGAATATATATTTTTTATTGAATTAATCCCATTTTTGTATATAAATGGATTGTAATAAAAAGTAACTATAAATATCTATAAATAATTAGCTATTATAATTAAGTACTCATTAACTAATTGCGAAAGATAGATGTACATATAAATTATCTATAATATCATTCTTATTAGTTTATTTGTTTTTCATAATTTTTGTTTATCTCATAGATTAGTAACGGGATGAGATGTTAGGCTGTTAGAAGAGAAGTGTTATGGAGCCGCTTAGTTATATAAAGATATGTTTAATAGAGAAGCTATTTTGAAAACAATAGAATAGTTAGTGTGTAAAAACAATCTATTTAATAATATCGACATTTAAGGTAGACGAAATATAATTTTAATATAAATCTAATCAATGTAGGTATTTTGTATTAGTAGAAAAAGAGAAAATCGTAAAGTAGATATTTTTGATATAATTTTAAATATATCTAGAACAGTTTGCTTACACGTATAAAAGTATTTATTAATAAGCTACTCCATACATGTTTGTGTTCGAAGTCATTGCATACATTATGGCATTACTCATTGCCTCCCGTCGTTTTTGTTGATTTATTCAAAGGTATCAAACGCCCTTTGATATCTTACCGATACAAATTTGAGTCCTTACAACATTACAACATAAATTATAACGATCTTAATAACAACAACATAAGGTTTAATTTACACTGGCATGAATATAAATCAATGACCGATTATTTCTATAAATTGTAACTCGATTAAGTTATAATGGCAGGTTATTGTGTTTAGATATCTATGAATTATTGCATGCCAATATATCATTTATTACCGGGTCAGAAGGTCTATATTTCCAAGTAAACGAGACAGAAGTTCTTCTGTAAGCCGGACACTCCATACATGGGTATCGCTTTGTTCTCGTAAGTACATAATTATAGTCATTTTATGGAGTAATTAAACAGAGTGGAAAGGTTGGACGTAAATTTACAAAACATTTGAATGTTTACAAAGCATTATATATTAGAAAAAATTCTCCTAGTGTTACATAGATTCAAATTTTAATTAGGATTCAAACTTACTACCCATATATCTTCTCAGTGGTTTGGCTGCTTAACCCATAAGAATTGAGTCTACTTCATAATTATTACTTCTATTTATTTCATAATAAGTATTCAGCCAATATTTCTTGAAAATACATATATTGAATATATATAAAAATTTCATTAAAGTATATAATTACATTTTAAGATGCTGTTTCTAAACTAATATTGCTATACGATTATAAAATTATTTGTTACATCTGATCTCAGTAAATAATTAGTTCGGGTTCTTTTCTAGTGACTGTTGTACTGACTAGTAGAAAATTTTATCCCTAAAAATACAATTAACAAATTAAATTCACGTCAGAGAGTAGAAATTAAGCTACAATTGAAACAGCCACTACATGTGTATAGAAAAATACCTATACGTATATAACAATGAAACTTACCAAGGGTAAACAATTTCAAACGGTATTATTACTATAATTACAGTAGTAAAGTCATTAAAACAGTTGGAAAATTTCAATACTCGGATAATTGCGATGACCGTTTCATTTCTATGAAAAATCTTAATAAGTTTTTTGCTCTCAACTAGTAACTGTAAATGTAGAATAATAACATTCAAACGTGATTATAGGTAAGTACATGTCGAAGTTAAATTTAAAAATTATAATATAAATGTGTATTAAATAATTATTGTAAAACGCCGATAATAGCTCTAATTGTAGCGACGTGTGTAAAATGTTGGAGTATTTTATAGTTTAAATTATAGTTGTGATATATTGTATGCAACCCGTTTCAGATATGTGAATTTTATTATTTTTACATTTATTTTTACGGCCTTACATTGTACGCTTTCATTTTTTTAAAAATCTATAGCTGTTGGAAGTGTATATCTGATAGTAAAGAAAATTTAGATACGTTAATGTTTTACTTAACTCCAATGTTATACCGGAGAAGAAGACTTAACTATTGTCAGTTTAGGTCAATCTTATCGTATTATTGACTCTCATTTTATTGTCATCTTATTACATATATACCTACAAATATAATAAAGAATTTTTATCCAAGAGAAAGTAAATATTATTACCTTAGTAATCTCTGTGTGATTTTGAATATCCTACTCAAATAGATACGTATACTTACTCATAAAATACTTACATTTGTATTATTCATTATTATTTATAAACGAAAATTCGAAAACTTGACGTTTTATGTTAATGCAAACTTGTAACGTTAAAAGTACTTAAACGATTTTAAAACGAAACTATTACTGTCCGAAACAAAAGTAAGCCGATTTCCCATGATTAAGTGTAATTTCTTTTATCTGATGAACATTTAATCGACCGGCTTGAATCTTATCATTTGAACCTAGCGGGGAATAAGTCGTCATTAAAACTTACGAAACTAAACAGAACTACAACAAAAGATGCACATTATGTAAGAGAAACATATAAAATTGGTAATGAAATAACATATTTGGCGCCATAAATTCCCTTAGAAGGCCTTGCACTTTAAATGAATGATGTTACACTGTTAGAATAATGGTTCCCAGTAGTTTATTAAATAAAGATGTCGCGTGTATCTTAGAAGCTTTATCGACAGTCATAACAATTATAGGTGCAAAAGCCATTGACCAGCTGACTTGAATGGGTGTCGTGCTGACATGCAAACACGCTAACGAAAACGAATCTTACGGGCAACACGTCATCTACCAAGGGCTGAGTACGTGAAAACATCTCGTGTTAGTTTAAGTAAGATTGTATGAAACAATATCATTTTTATCATAATTTTTTTCGTCCCTCAAACTCTCATAAAGGTAGTTATTTCGTTCAAATTAAACTACAACTATAAATTAAAAATGCCGACTACAAAAATCAAGCGTTTGTCAATCGATTAATAACTATGCATTTTATATATATTCAATGATTAAATTTCGTATTTGATAGTTTATGTTTTGGTGCATATGAATACTTGTCTAGAAGAAAAAAACAAAAACTTTCTGATTACGTCACATACATGTTTACAAATGCGTTCTTCCTGTGGCGTATAATTATAAATGTATTAGACGGGTCAACGTACTAGGGTTAAGGCCGTTTGGGATATCCATTTCGGACAACTTGTATTTGTTTTGGACACTTCAAACACGATTAGTTCTCAAGGGAGCAATTTTAATTCTCGTTTCTTTCGTGTCCTTAAGATGAATAAGACATTGTAGATAACACAATAGTTCTTAAAAAAAAATAGGTAGGTATAATTGAAAAAAAAAATTGCATTATAATGTCCAAATTGCATGACAAAATTGTATCAAATCAATTAGTGATTCATAGAAACATATATATTCATATCGCAAGAAACAAATATGATTTCGATACAAATGAATTCAATTTATCCTTGGTGCATTTGAAATTTAATAAGACGATATTTAAATTATGATTGTTCTTTAATTAATTCATACAGCAGACTATAAATAATGATGTCAGGAATGTTGTTTTAATTCGCTTAC